ATAGAGAAAAATTCTTCCAGTACAACAGGATAAGTGTGTACTAATATATTGGTTCAAAACCTGAAATATTTTGTTATCCTTATGAACTGAGAGAGTTTATGCATCTTCCCAAAATGTTTCACTGAGATATATATGCCATTCACTTCATGGTATAATCAAGAGTATATCATTCTTATTGTTCCAAAAGAAAGTATATTTTACCGGGTTTATGGGATGTTACTTCTGTTATCACTTACTGACCTTTATTATAGAATAAAAATATTTTATACTATAACTGTAGTTCTCTGTGAACAGAACATTATAAGATTCCTCTCAAAGTGTCCAAGTAGGAAGGTATTCTTAAGAGGAAAGGATCATTTTAAATTGAAAACTCTTGGGCCTCCCTGGGAGTATAGGAGTTAACTTTCAGCACTATCACCACTATTATTTGAGTTCAATCCTTGGTCAGGGAGCTGACCCATATGGTGCAACAGACCTCTCCTGTCTGGCCTGCTGCTCCCCTCAGCAGTGTATTTCAGTCAATCTGCCTGTTCTCCTTCTGGTGAATCCTCTCATTCCTGCATCTCTGGTCTACAACCCAGTTCTTCTGTGTAAGAATAAAAAACTATTAAATTAAAAATATTTAAAATAAATAAATTAAAAACTCTCTATTAGACTCAGCAAGTTGTGTTTGCTTAAGTGGAAAAGGAAATAAGTTGCATATCATTGATTTCACTTGAAAGTGCCGTTAGACAATAATACTTAGAATTTTTATTAAAAAAATGGCTGGGCTTTATGTTCTGATGGGAACTGCAAGTTTTGCTTCCTGTGCAATTGCTCCCAGTCAGAACTTGAAATCGACTGTCTCGAAGTTTCCTACCTGAAAGTGACGGCCCAAAGCCAAAGTTGGTGGAAAGAATCTGACCTTGAAAGACAATGTATCTTGATCAAGAAAGAGAATTTTCCTGGCCAATACAGAGAAACAATTCAGGCAAGGCAATAAGGATGAGCTCTGAAAAAGAATGATCTCATTGACCCTGTCTGGCAGCTCAGGTAAAATATTCAACTGAAAAATCTCACGAGAGAGAGGACCCTATGAAAGATGGTGACAATTTAAGTCAAAAGAGGACAGAAAATGCTATTATTGCCATTTGGGGAAATGGTTTAAATTTCTTTGAGAATCAAATTCCCATCAATCAGGTCACTGGGAAAAGTGCAGTGGTTAAAACATGATGCAGAGAGACAAACAAAAGTAGGTTTTCCTTTTCTGTGAAGACAATGTAAATACCTGTACAGAATACCAAGTAGTAAGGGTTGGTTCATTGCCCTCCCTTATGCCTTACCTATAAGTTTTTAAAAGGTGCCTGGTAAAAACTCATGATTGATATAAGAACTGTTCCTAGAATTTCTTTGCATCTATTTGTTATATCTAAATTATGCTTATGCAGTCACATTCCATATTTTTTGAAAATGTGACACATTAAAAAATTTAACATCACTGAGGTATAATTTCCACACATCTCCAAAGAAAATCAGTTAGGAGAAATATTAGCTGAAACTTTCTATAATTTGGAGTAATCAAAAAGATGCCGTAAGACATCATTTAATTTCTTTGGAATAAAAATAAATACTGCCTGTTATTTGCAAAGTAACTGATTTTTCAATATCTTGAAATGTAGTAAATGAATTGAGTTTTCATATTTACATTCTGAGTGTCTTTCTATGGAGAGAATGATTTCAAGTCCTGCAATTTCCAAAGAAGCAGCAATAACTTATTAATTGTGCCCTTGGTGATCTTAACGTGCAGCATAAAAAACCACCTTAGAGACTGCCAGAGATGCAAAAAGTTGTCCTATGAGGAGCAATAAGGACACCAGGAGAATCTGGATGCAAAAGTATTTCAAAAAAGCTAGTTACATATTGAAGGAAAGGATTTAATTAATACTGTTGCAGCTGTGAAGTTAATATGCAGATTCAAGGTCCTATCACAAGGGACTTACATATTTTTTTAAACAAGTCACTCAGTCCTACATTTTCACCCCTTTTATCGTTCTTGCACAGTAATAAATGAATGTCCCAAAGGTTTTCAGGATGAAGACTGTGATGTCTGTTAATTCTTTCAATGATAATAAAAATGATGATGTTGATGGCAATTATGAGCACCGTTATCTGCTGAAACCTCACCGTATGCCAAGCTCTGTTTGAGGTCCTTTATTGCATCTTATTTCACTTCGTCGGCAATCTTGGAAATGGTGTGCCATAGCTTTTCTCATTTTGTAGATAAGGAAACTGAGGTTCTAGTATATTAGTCAGTGCTGATACCTTTAGTTACCTATTGACCAGTCATCCCTGACCCTACCATACATGTAAACACTTCTTAATAGCAGTATGCCCATTTCTTACATGTGGAAAAGCTTGGGAATATGAGGAGCCTGAAGACCACAGTGTAAAACATATGACACAGAAGATAAGATAACAGCAAAGGAAAATCTGGAGACTGTAACAGGTCATAATGTATGATTGTTCAGGAGAATGAATATTCTCAATTAATAAGGAAGGTTAGCAGGGTCTGCTATTAAATTAACACCTATGTCCACAGAGGTCTTATGAAAATTAATCTGAAAATGGTTTTGGATATTCTTTTAGAATGGATGTTTGGGTAAAAATCAAGCTACAAAGAGAACTTAGTAATCCTCCAATGTGAGTCATTCCAAGAAATGACTTCATAAACCATTAGGAGATGAAGAAGAGTTATAGAGAGTAAACAAACCTGCACAGATGAAAAAGAAAAGGAATCCAACTCTGAAAGGCAGTAGAGGTTGGATTATCAAAGGTCCTTAATTCTGCTCTGTTTATCAGATCTGCTACAACCTGGAATTGAGGCTACACTGCAGCTGACCAGGGAGATATTCCCAGCTTTTCCAGCAGTGAAAAGAAAGAGATAACAGACATTCAGACATTTCTATGATGCTCCTTGGAAGTCATCTTTCTTTTAATGGTCTAGAATACTTGGATGACTGATTAATGGCAGTTGAATGGGTGAAAAATGAAGAAGCAGGGGGTACTATATCCATTTAAAAAAAAAAAAAGCTTTCACCCAAGGAAACCAGAAAAAATTCCTTGACATTATATGAGAAATGCAGTTACAAAAAAGCCATTCACAAAATAACCTTGAGCAGTAGAGGGATATCAGACTTATAGAACACAGTACTGTTGCTATTATTACTTTTTTGTAACTTTTTATAAGTTTTTATAACTTTTTATAACTTAAATAAGGCTTATTTAAGTTGCCAATATGGCATGCTTAAAACAATGCTACACACAGAACCAGAGCTGATTATCATTATTAGCAAAGCTGGTCCTGTTTTTGTATTTCACAATGACTCAGAGGGATTAAACAGTTTACCTAAGGGCTCATCATTAAGTGCTAAACACAGGATTTGGATAAAAAGTATAATTGGAAATTCCATCTTTTTTTCAACAAACTATGATGAGAATTCCAAAGGTCAAATTTCCTTTAGTCTAATGTGTTCTAAGTTCATATGGGGGAAAAAAAGATAATTTCCATCCAGTAAGCCAGTGAAATAAAAATATGACTGAAAGTGGCCATTCAAATCACAAGATGTAAAATGTGAGGGGGGCTAAAGATGCTATGTTTATTATTTGTAAGATTTGCATTTTAAAATTGCTTTATAATCTGCCTGTTACTGAAGATAAGTGGGCACTGATTTTAGTATTTTTTTCTGTCTTAGACATTAGTAGTAAAATGTGATAGATATTTTTACAATAGCACAAATATTAAAGGTAGAAGTTAGTGCATTTGTAAGGAACTTAGAAATATCATTTCTAGCTGCTGACTGCATTTGTCAATGTGAGAAAATGATGGCAAGTTCTAATTATAAAGGTATTAAGATGTAGAACAAAGAGTAACCGTCTCTAGAGGTTCTGAAGAAAATCCGTCAGGGATTTTTGTTGCTTGGTTGAATCAATAATTCTTTATTACCACATGGACTTCAGTGACGTTTGACAATTCTTAAGATATTTTCTAAGACTGAAACCACCAAAATTAAGAGATTGGTCTCTTAGGACATTACTCTCATGCAATAGAATATGTTAAAACAAAATATAGTGGATAATGAGAAATCTAAGCAATAATAATGGCTTTTTAATTACTTTTTAAATTACATTGTCAAGTTTCTTCTCTACAATACTCCAGATGAAAATTATGCTGGTTTATGAGAAAAATGTTTAAAAAAAATACAACTAGAAACTTACACCAATATGCTCTTACATTTGGGTGGCAATCAAAAAGGATTTTGTAGAAGTTATAATGAAAATTATGTATTGTGCTGACATAAGTTAGATGGAGAGGTATAATGCATTAAGACAATGCTCTTTAATCTGATCAGGATTTCAAAATAGACATCACTACATAGACATAGTTAGTTGCTAGAAAAATGTATATTCCATTTAAAAACACAGGAGCTCATTCCTTGCCAAACTTCTATTCTTTAGAATTGATATTTGAGCAGAGATAGTCTCATCTGTTACAGTAACATCTGAGATTTTAATCCCTTCCTATTCTGAACACAAGCATTCTGAATTCAAGAATGTTCAAAACCATTTTCCTTTTTTTTTAAAATAATACAATAGTTTATTTTTACATCATTTTGTTCATTTTTCCATCTCAGTTGTAATCCCCTTGGGCTTCCCATCATCCATTTCCCTTTAAAAAAAATTTTTTTTTCATATAAGATTTAGGGCTGAGGTTGTTGTGACATTGGACCTTTTTAAGTTTACAGAGAAAGTATAAAACCAATGATTTGGAGTCATTATACTTACACCTTCCTAAGATCATTCTTTCCTGAATGGGATCCAAACTTTTGATTAGTATTCTATTTATGTTTTATAATAATTAAATCTATAGATACATATATAAACACATGTATATATATTGTGATCATAATTATTTATTAGTGTACTCTTTTAAAAGTGTACTTAAAAAAACATGCAAAACTTACCTTAGAGAGTCCACCTACTTCCAAATAAAAGCAGATAATGAACACATTCCAGGTGACCCAAAGGGCAGTCCATACTGTATACTAGAGAGAAAGGGTGAAGGAGACAGAGAAAAAAATGTGGCATTGAAAGGCATGTATAATAAATAAATCAATAATTAAAAAGTCAATAAGTCTAAGTCTTCTGGGAAGAAATGGAGCACTCAGAAAAGAGTGCTCCTTATGAAGTCCCCTAAGGTCTCTGGAAATTAAAAATCCAATAGTTTTTAGTGCTTAGATTAGCTGCCAATAAAGCTAGATTTATTTTTAAAATGCTTTGCTGGCTTGCAGATATAAGTTAAATCAAAATGCTGATTTGATTTCTGTTTTCTGAGTACCATCTTTCCAAGAGAACATAAGTATGTCCATTTTCAGTGGGCTAGCTAGTTTTTCTTTCTTTCACTCTTTCTTCTCTTTCTTATTACAATAAGAAATTACAAAATGTTTAGAAATGTGAGTCACAACCCTGTACTTCCATATTCTTGACTGAAGATCACGTTTGAAAATGGACATTTGGAGAAAAACAAACTTATATCTGTTAGACTATATTTTTTAGTAGATGTATATATAATTAATCATACAGAGTTATGGAATGATGTAAAATATTTTCAAGGCAAAGAAATTAATAAATAAGAATAGGAATGGGCAAATAAACAATAGAGGTCCATAATAAGAAAATACCTTCCAATGACATCCAACAAACTAAGGGTGCTAGACATACTAATTCATTGGCTTATGGACAATATGTATTGGGAAATATATTCCGTAAGAGATTTTAGTCAGTCTGCATGAAGGAAGCCTTAAATCAAGATTCATCTTAGATTTCAAGTTACTTTCTCACACAGAAGAAGAAACTGAGACTCAAAGAACTGCCATGGAGAACAGCTTGAACTAGTAAGAGTACTTAATGGTGGGATAAAACACCTGGAAGATGAGTGAAACACTATACAACATACACCTCAATAATATTTATAGGATACAGTACCCAAAACAATGATAGTGAAGGAAAGGTTAAACAGATAGGACTACCTCAAGTTAAAGAGCTTCTGTACAGCAAAAGAGACATTACAAAAAACAAACAGACATCTCACTTACTGTAAAAAAATTTTCTCACACAATACTAGTGATAAAGGATCGATCACAAAGATATACAAAGAACTGATGAAACTAAAAAAATAAAAAAATAAATAAACAACCCCATCAGAAAATGAGCAGAAGAGTTAAAAAGACACTTCTCCAAAGAGGAAATGCAGACAGTTAACAAGCATATGAAAAATTTTCAACACTTGTAATAAGGCAGATGCAAATTAAAATCACAACGAGATACTACCTCACACCAGTGAGAATGGCATATTTTAAAACAACTAGCAACAACAAATGAGGATGTGGAGAAAAAGGAACTCTCCTGCACTGCTGGTGGGAATGCAAACTAGTACAACCACTATGGAAAAATGCACTATGGAAAATTGTTTGGAGGTTTCTCAAACTGTTAAACATGGAGCTTCCATATGACCCAGCAATCCCACTCTTGGGTATCTACCCAAAAGACACAAAAACACTGATTCAAAATAACACCTGCACCCCATGTTTATTGCTGCTCTATTTACAATTGGAAAGACATGGAATCAACCTAAATGGCCAAAAGTAGAAGATTGGATAAAAAAGATGTGGCACACACACACACTGGAATATTACTCAGCAATCAAAAAATTAAACACATGCCTTTTGCAGCAACATGGATGGGGCTCGAAGGGATCATGCCTAGTGAAATAAGCCAGGAAGAAAAGGAAAAATACTGGATGGATTCACTCATAACAGGAATATAATGGATCAGGCGAGAAAATAAAAATAATAAAAATATAATGAACAACTATATACCAGCAATATTTTATGGGGGTGGTGTGGGGAATGGGATAAAAAACAGTAGAGGAAGGGAAGTGCACTGGACTATGGTGGTGATTTGGTGAGGGGAAGCCCCCGGGGATTACAAATGAGATGGAAAAGGGCACAAAATGATGTAAAAAAGAACTATTATTAAAAAAATAAAGAGTACGGCCCTCCCTGGTGGCGCAGCGGGTTAAAGCACTGCACTGAGA